ACTGTTACTAACTTTGTTGGTTTGTTTTTTAGTTACTGATAGAGGAAAGGTGAAGCTTACAACTATGATTGTGAATTTATTTCTCCTTCTAGATCTGGGGGTTTCTGCTTTATATCCACCACAGCTATATTAGCAAGAGTTTGTAGATTTAAAATTGTTCTTCCTCCTCATATCTGTAAATGACAAGGATGGAATAGGCTCTCACGAAACGTTTGCTGCTTGCATCACATAAAGGGTCATGTGTGTGTGCTCCGTCATGTCCTCCTCTTTGTGACCCTGTGGACTGTAGGCCACCAGGCTCCTCTGTCCATAAGATTTCCCGGGCAAGAATACTGGAGTGGGTTGCCACTTCCTCCTCCAGGGGATCTTCCTGACCCAGAGATCGAACCCACATCTCTTGAGTCTCCTGCATAGGCAGGCAAATTCTTTACAATCAAGCCACCTGGGAAACCCCGAATAAAGGGTCAGATGGGGACAACCCAGAGTCTTCTTGGCTCTGATGATCTCTATTTATCCCCTGAATGAAGATGTCTGCATTTCCCTCTGAGTCAGAGTCAACAGCAAAAAAATAAAAATCTCCTATTCTGGTCATTTTTCCAGAGTTGCTCTCGGAGACTGCTGTGGCACTGAGGAATGAAAGAAACATCACCACCACCACCCCCATTCCAGAATTTCCTGTCCTGTCTTGTGGTTGACTTCAAACATTTCACCTCCCGCCTCCCTCTTTCTCACCATCTCTTCTTCATGGCTAAAGAAGTTACACATTTGCAAAGGAAATGATTAAGCAAATCCAGAGATCTGGGCCAGTGGACCTGATTTTTTCAAGGCCCTCGTTTCTGAGAGCTGAAGAAATCTGTGCAATGAGGGGTTTGCTCATGCGTTTTTGGCTTTAGTCAGGACTGGTGCACAATTTCCTGTTTTTGTATCCTCAAAACTGCTAAGCTACTTGTGAACAACTGGCCGAGAGAGGGAGAGGGCGGGGGCTGCGAGGGAGGATTGTGAGCCAAGAGGGGTTGGGAAGGGCTGCTCCTTCCTCGGTCCTGGCAGGACTTCTGTGAAAGTGGAAACGTTTTTCGGTGTTTTATTTTTGTCGTTTAATGGCGGCGCAGACGAGACTGGAGGCAGTCTCAGATTCTAGACTTGAAGTTGGGGGATGGAGTGGTAAAGAGAAGAAACAAGTTCCAGCAGGAATTTTAACGGGTGTCCAGATAGTCAAACGACGGTTGAAACTCACAGTGTCCTGATAAGTGTGAACCTTTATTAGGCCCTTACGAAGCGCCAGGCGCGGCGCCAAGGGCTCGGCAGGGAGGGTGTCTTCCTAAAGCCTGTGCAACCTGCGAGGGGGGCCTCCACCATCAGCTGCGCTTTACGCGTGGGGAAGCGAGGTGGGGAGGGAAGTGACTTGGAATTCCAACCCGTCCTTTGGACCCAGAGCCTGCATCCTTAACATCTACTCTGTCCTGAAGGTAACGAAGGAGACTGCAACATACATGTTCACGTATGTAGATCCAGGGAGAGGGAGGAGCCCTAACTAAAGCTGTTCCCTGGTTGGTTTTTTTTTTTTTTTCTTTCTCTCTCAAAGCAGGACCTCAGGTTGTGCTGGGCATCTGCCTGTTCGCTCTGACTTCCTCTTTCCAGGCTTGCCTTCAAACTACCTTTCCCGAGATCCATAGAAGCCAAGTGGCTTCTCCTTCAGGTCGGCCAGTGGGAGGCACTTGCACCAAAATAGTTTTTCCTCCTGTCAGCACAAAAGCAGCGCTTCTGGAGAGCAGCCGAACCTCCCCTCTCCTGCACCCTCCCAGGCCTCACTCCCTCTCCCACCCCCACCCCAGCCGCCCCCCACAGGGTACTCCGTTCCCCACAGGACCACAGGTTCCCTGGTCTGGTAAGCAGACCCCCACCTGCTGTCTGTCTGGCCCGAGCAGTGGTTGCGGCTTCCTTCTGTGTCTCATCTCTGCAAGGTCTTGTCGCATGGCTGCCTTGTCAGCTCTCCCAGCACCTCTGAAACCGGTGCCGTATCAACCCCCCTTCTGTTAAACCACCTTGCACAAGCTAGGTCCCCTGATGAGAGCCTAAGGGAGACACAGATGTTTGTGCTTTAGATACAGACCCTGAGACGAGAGGTTGCGTGCAGGTTGTTTATTTGGGAAGGGGTCCCAGGGAGCATGAACGAGGGAGGGTGTATTTGTGAGCATGTTACTACTGTGGGCTCTTGCTGGGGACGCCTGTGGAAATGTGTAGAAGATCCCCCAAATATGGAGAAGCTGAGCTATTTATCTGTCATCTTCCATCCCTGCTTGGTTGAGGGTGCTTCTGGAAATGTGAACTTTCAGGCATTTCCGGGAATCTTGCATGTGGACTGAACAAGTCCCCACAGTCCCTGGAGGAAGTCATCAAGAAGGAAAGCAAATAATAGAGGGACCACTGAAGTGGGACGTTATCAGGGCTGTGGGTGAACTCAGAGTTGGACTGAGGACCAATGAGGAGTCCACAGCATCTGCTACTATGGCAACATGGCTAATAAGCAGATACAACCAAGGAAAATTAAAGGGAGACCTGAGTCCCCTCCCCTCAATTCTACTTTACTTTCAAATGGGATGGACACCAGGGAAAATCAACATGTTTTCCCTCCTTTCTTTCTCTTTTCTTGGATGAGCCAGACAGTCAGGTTGCCAGGACAGGGAGAGACAGGGATGCAGCTTAAGGGTGTCCCAAGGACTGAGTGGACTTTGAGCCCTTGAAAGAGAAGACATACAAATTCTACCTTGGGCAGATGTTCTGAGCCTCCTCATCAGTATGCTTTCTGAGCACTTATTTGCCAGGCAGTCTACTAATGAGCTATAAATGCATTGTTTCATCCCCCTGGTGGCTCAGATAGTAAAGAATCTGTCTGCAGTGCAGGAGATCTGGGCTCCATCCCTGGGTCAGGAAGATCCCCTGGAGAAGGAAATGGCAACCCACTCCAGTATTCTTGCCTGGATAATCCCAAGGACAAAGGAACTTGGTGAGCTACAGTCAATGGAGCCTTAAAGAGTTGGACAAAAATGAGCAACTAACACACTATACTAACAAGCTATAAATGCATTGTCTCATTACTCTTCTTATCAAGTCTAAGTTCTCCGATTATTTCCATTCTGCAGAGAAGCAAAATAAGGTAAAGTAACTAAAGATCTCACAGCCTTGGGCCGTAGATGTGGGTAATCAGATGGACGATGGGGCTAAATTCCAAACTCACATTTATGACACTTGGACAATAAGCATTCAAGCAGCCTTTCAAGGACCAAAGCCATTTAGAGGTTTTATCTGAGTATTTCTTATACTCTGTTAAGAGGCTTAAAAGTAAAATGATGACACTTTATGGTGTCTGGTAGTTCAGGTCACTCAAGGGATCCAGTGAATATTAGTTGAATTAAGTTTGCATTAGATTCACCTGCAACCAAAGTCCAAATCTGATTCTGTAACCGTTCAGCTCAGATCTCTTCCCTGGCTCCCTACTGCCCACAGGAGAAGGTTTAAGCTTCTCACTTCGGGCTCCTTACTGCGTGTCCCTGTTGACCTGGTCCTTCCTCCTCTCCAACCTTCACCATCTTATCTGTCTCCCCACAGCCTCACTCCAGCCATGCTGACCTACTTGCCATTCCCTCTGTAAATGCTGGCCTTTTGCACTTCCGTTCTGCTGGAAGCCCCTTTGGCCACTCTTTTATGAGTTAGTTCAACCGTCACCTCCCAAAACGGCCAAGCTCCATCCCCGTTAGTCTGAGGCAGTGCCTTTCTCTACACGCCACCATGCCCTGCATTTATTTATATTACAGTCGTCTTTGTGTCTGTGTATCTCTCACAGACACAAAAACATGCCTTTAAGAAGACCTTAGTTGGGTTGCAACCTTGGCTCTGACCTGTGTGTCCGCAGGCTGAGTCACTTCTCCTGTCTCCACCTTGGTTTCCTCACCTGTAAACTGGGTGGTAAACACGGGAATTCCTGTGAAGCACAAGACCTGACCTGGATAGTAAAGCCCAAGGTTAGCTGTGAGTATCTTTGCACATTCAGAACTGGTCTTTTTTTGGTTGACACTCAGTGAAGTCAGAGCTCAACCTTGACCAGTGATTTTTAATTTTTCCTGCATTAGAACCACCTGGAGTGCTTGTGAAAACACACATTGCTCGGCTGCCCCTGGGTCTGGAGTGGGGTTTGACAATTTGGATTTCTAATTGGTTCTCAGGTGATGCTATTGTTATGGAACCACACTTTGAGGACCACTCAGCTGGGCACCTGAGGAGGGAAGACTGATTAAAGTGATCAAACACTTGGAGTTAAATTCAAGCTAGAGCATAAGGCCACCCTCTTTCCAGTGGATATGGCCTTACAAACCTTATCTATCAACTTACCCATCCAGATGCTATTTATTGAGTATCTACCATGCCCAGGCATTGTGTGTTGATGACAGAGCAGTGAGTGAGACCAGGTCCCTGATGTTGATGGGCTCACAGTCTAACAACCCTGATCTGCAGGGCAGGCATCATAATTGCTCAAGTCCCATCAGGAACTTGAAGGGACCTGGCTGGCTTGGGGAATGGCAAACTTAAAAAATACTGATATGCACAGTTGCTTTATTGCTTACTGCATCATCATAATTACCTTCTCAACATCAGTTTCACGGAAATGATAAATCAAAACTGATGACAGTGATCCTGTAATTCCCTTGTCTGGCACTGATGAAGTCAGCTCATTTGGGACATGGCAGAGCTGAGTCCCAGAGGATCAGAGCCAGGTGGTGACAAAACAGCTGTTGCATAAGATGATAAATATCCCCACTGTTGTTGTCACGATTAACTAGCCAACTTGAGCGGGAGTTTTCAGGTACTTGGTGCTAACATTCCTAGTGCTCTAACAGCCCTCCTGCACTGGTTTTTTTTTCTTATGTACCAGCCATTGCATAAAGGGCTTGCCCTGCTCCACCTCAATCCACGCTCACAGCAGCTCCGCGACTTGCGCATTACTATCAGTCTCCTGTGTAGGGAGGAAACTGGCAGCGCAGGTCACTTGCCCCCTCCTCTCGGTGGGTGTGAGGGTGGCTTCCACGCTTGGCAGTGACACCAACCCAGCTGTTCACAATCGCACTACGCTTCTCAAGCTGCTTCTCAGTCCGAGCTGATGAAGATGGAAAAACCAACCAATAACCAGGGGGGCCGAGAATCACGGGGAGCAATGGACTCCCCGGCTTGGCCCTCGCACCCTGCTGCTGCTGCTGCTGCTGCTGCGTCGCTTCAGTCGCGTCCGGCTCCGTGCGACCCCACAGACGGCAGCCCACCAGGCTCCCCCGTCCCTGGGATTCCCCAGGCAAGAACTCTGGAGTGGGTTGCCATTTCCTTCTCCATCTCGTGCCCTCGTTCTCCTCCTTAAACTGGACCACTTTCTAGGAGTTAGCCAACAAGCGCACTCTGAAGAGCTGCTTTAGTGCAGCCTCCTGGTCAGCGGTCAGAGAAAAGGGCCAGGCTAGAGGTCCGGGGCCCAGGTCTTGGAACTCCCTCCTGTGGCCAGATTTAAATAGAAAACCTTCAGGGAGAAGAAATCGCGTGAGCAGTGAGCCATCCACGGCCAGCTCCAGCTGGGGGCCGTTTTGTTAAGGGGTGCACCTTGGGGAGGGGAGGAAGCCACACCATTCCCTCTCATAGTGAAATACAGCAGAGGCTGCAGTTCAGTTCAGTTAGGAGCACACAGCTTTCACTTAGACAACTTAGTCAAAAAGCAGCCTATCAACTGTAAAGTCTGATAATATAAGGATGTTGTCATCATTGCTGCTGCTGCTAAGTCGCTTCAGTCGTGTTTGACTCTGTGCGACCCCACAGACGGCAGCCCACCAGGCTCCCCGTCCCTGGGATTCTCCAGGCAAGAACACTGGAGTGGGCTGCCATTGCCTTCTCCAATGCAGGAAAGTGGAAAGTGAAAGTGAAGTCGCTCAGTCGTGTCCGACCCAGCGACCCCATGGACTGCAGCCCACCAGGCTCCTCCGTCCATGGGATTCTCCAGGCGAGAGTCCTGGAGCGGGGCGCCAGTGCCTTCTCTGGCTGTTAGCACTACCCTTGATAAAAGTGAAAGTGTTAGCTGCTCAGTTGTGGCCCACCAGGCTCTTCTGTCCATGGACTTCTTCAGGCAAGAATGCTGGAGTGGGTTGCCGTTTCCCTTCTCCAGGGGATCTTCTCAACCCAGGGATGGAACTCAGGTCCCCTGCCTTGCAGGCGGATTCTTTGCCATCGGAGCCACCGGGAAAGCCCAACTGTCCGCCTAACTTTGATAAAATTGCCCTGATTTGCTATCCAGGCATGGCTGTGGCTCAGTAAAGCGCCAGCAGGCGAAGAGGCTCCAGTCAGTGGCTTTCCAAGAGAGGGAAATGAAAGAGTTAAGCTCCTCTGAAAACCAATTTATGCCAAGGACCGGATTCTGACTGGCATTCAGGCCAGTGCTAAAGATCTGAATTACAAATTTACAGAATTTGCTGCTCTGTAAGTAATTACTTTTCTTCCTAATGGAGCCCGTAATTTCCGGGGTTGGGGTGGGGTGGGTGGCTAGTGTCACTTGATTTCTACTGATAGAATGAACAGGATCTAGACCAGAGAGGAGTTTAATTCTACTCACTGTGCGAACTGCCTTTTTATGAATAAAAGGCCGAGAAGGGGCTTGGGAGGATAGCTAAAAGCTGATAAGAATATTTTAGATTTCTGCAAAGCGCATTCCCTGCATTTGCAACTTGGGTGAGTTAACCCTGGCAATCATCTTCCTTTCCTCCTCTTTCAGGTAGGGTGGTGAGCTGATTCTAGTTTGTAAAGCTTAAGATCATTTTGGGATTCTTTGAGAAAAGAGATGCTGCTCGGCAGGCCTGCTCCCTTCCCGGCACTTTGGGAGGGAGGCAGCCAGGCGCAGATTCGAACCTCTTGGAGTCTCAGTAGAGGGGTCCCCAGTGCATGTTTGCACACAAACAGCAACAATGCAGCTAGAGAGTCTATGTGTGTGCAAATCCCTGATACTTTGTTTAAAGGGCAGGGGGCACAACGAAACCACAAGGACTTCGCTCTCTTTCTCTTTTCCTTCCCTCTTTGGCATTTTCCTTGGGTGGCACGTGGCCCTCTCCCCAGGATGAATTCATGAGAGACCTCAGGGGCTGCTGAGAACAACTGCAATTTGAAGAATTCTTTTACGGATATCAGTCCAGACGGTACCGTTGGCTAGAGCTGGCAAGCAGCGTTTTTCTGTTGTTGTTGTTTTTTGTTTTCCCTGATGGTGGCCAATTTAGCTCAACAGCCCAATTCTTGGAAAGGCCACGTCTTGACACAGGAGAAGACACTTCCATGTGCACCTAAAAATAAATAATAAGTTAATGAGTATGTCAGCTTCAAAAAGACACCTTTGCCCCTCACCCGGGTGTTAATTTCTCTTTCTGTTTTGGGGTGTTAACATTTTACTGAGTGTGGTTTTGCTATCCAAAGGGCATTCCTGGGCCCTGTAGTTTAAAGAACTTTAGCCCCTCTGTGAATCTGTGTCCCCGGAGCTTTCCTGCCCTCCCTTGGGGAGTGGCTACTCTTTTCACCCCTAATCCAACAGGAAGCATGGAAATTAGTATTTATTGCAAATGCGTCAGGAATGGGCTCTCCAATCAAAACCAGACAAACCCCTCCAAACTCAAAAAACAGAATTTTAACTTGCTTCGCAGGCTACAACTGGCTTTAGAATCTCCCCAATAATTTTTAGAGTCCTCTCTGGCTTAAGTTTTCCTAAAAACAGAACAAGCAATTTCATTCAAAGATGGCTCTCCTTTTTTGGCCAGGAGGATGGGAAACCAGTTATGGAAACCGTTGGCATGCTCTGCAGCAAGATTCTCAGCAGAGAACTTCTTTTTAAAAGTTTGAAAAATTTTTTCCAGGGTGGGGGGGGGCTCCTTCGGCATTAGTGAGTCAGCCTCGCCCTGGAGACATTTCTCATCAGGGCGAAAAGCCCCTGTGTCCAGTGAGGTGAAGCTTGTCACCTTTCTCAATAGACTGGCATGGCCGGAGCTCAAAGGTCACACCAGGCAAACCCCGAGGTGTTCAGAGACAAAGCCGTGACCGGCTGCCTGTTTGCCTTGAGTCATCCCGTGTGCTGGGATGGGGATGATGGAGGGAACGTCATCCCCCACGGAGGTCTTCCCCAGAGGGTTTTTCCCCTGATCTGGGCCAAGTTAAGCATAGAGACATGAAGCAGCATGAGGTCATTCTCAGCGGGGTGAGTCACAAACAGTGAGGAATCTCCAGGTTCGGGCAGGAGGGCTGAAGAAGCCAAACCCACCCCAAGGAAAAAGCCTCTGGTCTTTTTCGGAAACTGAGCTCTCAGGTGCAGACGGTCCAAGCTGGGAGCCAGCGGGTCCTAGGAGCCAAGGGCCTCCCAAACATTTTTTTGGGGAAATATTTTTGTCCTGAACACATTTTCCAAAGGCCCTTTTGCCCAAGCCAAAGTTTTATTTGCCTAAGGTATTGCCTTCTCAGGAGCAGGTGTTCAGTGCTATTTCTAACCACGTGGTGGAGTGTACACGCAGTGGGTTTGGAGGAGCTGAGGGTGCCCGTGGTTCTGGGTCAGTTACACATGTCCGTTTGCCTGTGGAAGACTGTGAACTTGTGCATGCGTCTATCTACTCCTGTATGGAAACGCATGTTCCTGAGTATGAGTGTGTGCATCTGTGGGTATAAATACACACCTGGATATATGTGTCACTTGAGGACACTTTGACTGACTCTTAACCTCCAGCCCAAGGGATCGCAGCTTCTCAGCTCAACTGTAGAAGTTTGCCTAGCCCAACAACTCCCACGGTGGTCCATGACTCACCAACAAGGGGACAAAGGCCGGCCTCCTTGCCTGTAGGTAGACCCAGCTTTGTGGTGCGATTCCTGCTCCAGGGCCCCCTGGGAGACAGAACGGAACTCCGTTCCAGCTGAGACCAGATCCTGCCCGGTCCTCCTCTTCCCGCCTTCGGGCTCTGAATCTCTGTCAGTGTGGCCAGAGGCAGTGTGTGTATATCATACATGTGTGTGTGTGCGTGCATATGTGCAAATACACACGTGCACACATCTGTACATGCACACGCCTGCGTATGAGGAAATCGAGGAAGATCTGGGAGAGGAAATAAGATGCAGGGGCAGCATCGATTTTCTGACATGGAAGATAAAGGCAGCTCAGACACAGCACGAGACCTGCTTTAAAAGCTGAACATTAAAAGATCGTTTAGATGTCAATGTATTTTTTTTTTATTAAATCAGAAAAAGATACAGTATATATCAGTCGATCATATGGCTGGGTTTTGAACTACATTTTAATACACCATGGTCCTATGTACTCCTCCGTACAAGTATTAAAAAAAAAAAAACTCAGGTGTTTGAATAATCTGTAAATTTTTATTATTAACTGGGGTTATGGGAGGGTTTTATCAGAGCACATCCTGAGAACATTAGGAAATTACAGACAGACTTGAGATAAGTGTCAGACAGAACAGATGAAGCAAGCCCCTCAGCCATCTGAGAAACATTAATAATGTAAGATTGCAGAGACCAAATCTTTGTTAGGGATGCGGGATGAGGGACGAAAACGGAGAGCTTGGCGCCCCCTAGTGTTTCAAAAATAAACTAGCAACGCCTTTTATTTGGTTTGGTTTGGGTTTTTTTTGTTTTTAAGTTGTAATCCTCGCCCTTGTCACCGAGCCTGAAAAAGCAACCGCTTTCCCAAATCATGTCAAGGCCTCTCCAGTCAGTCTTTCCGCTCTCGTCAATCCCGTTCAAGGGCCCCATCTGCAAAACAACCCTTGCCCATTCCTTTGTCATTCCCCGCACATCCCATTCCAGAAAATTGGCAACCTCCCAACAACCCACAGCCCACGTTCTCCCTCCCTGAAACGCGAACTTAAACAAATGGATTTTCGCCTCTCCTCTTCAAGCCGCGAGGATGAGCACGCCTAGACTACAAAGCTTCATCCTTCCAGCAGTCTTTTCCCTTCTGCAACTTACTTGCCCCTGGCCTTTTTTCTAACGTAGCCAGAATGCAGTCCTCTGCCCCTGCCCCACCCGGCGAGGTGCGCATCTTCGGACCTGGCGGTTAACCTGCTCAGCCATCGTTACAGTTATTTACCGGGGAAGACTGGACCAGAGACGCAAGTGATACACCTCAGTACACAGCAGCTCAGACTTAGCTCGGAGGCAGACTTTCATTGGATGGCCATCAGAAGGAGAAATATACACATGGAGAGGGTGTGGGGGGGAGATGAGTCGGGAGGAGACATCTCGGTCGCGGAACCTGATGGGAGCCGTGAAGATTTGTTTACTTGGATTTGCCCACTGGTCCGATGGACACGGGGTCTGTTTGCACTTGAGCGTCCAACATCCGCTTCGGTCCCTGGAGGAAATACAAAAGAAGGTGAAGATCTGTAATATCAACAACGATCGCCAGTTATGTAGCACTTTATGCCAGGTGCCGTCCTAAATAAGTACGCCGGATTCGTGGGTGGCGGGTAAGAGAACAGTCTCCGGCGAGCGCCCGAGTTCCATGCGTGTGTATATTCCTTTCTAGCCTTGTGAAATCGTGGACAGATGACTGAACCCTCTGTGCTTCAGTTTCCTCATCTTTAGAATAAAGGTGATGACATTTATCTCAGAGGGCTGTTCCAAGACAAAGTGAGGCCTGGCTTATGATGCACTAAGAACAGTACCGCGGCGGGGCGGGGCGCGGCGTAGAAAACCGTCCATAGTCAGAGCCAATTTCCATCAACCCTCTATTCCCTTTCTAACCATACTGGCTGTTTACCTTCCTTACAAAACGCAAGAGTTTTATCTGCAGAGTTTTCATGTTAACACCAAGTGGGCTGCTTTCTATCTAAACCCAAGCAGCACATATAGGAGGAGGAGAAAGGGGCCAGAAGGAAGGAAGTCACCGGGGGGGCAAAGGTCGCATGGGGAGCGGCTGGCGGTGTAGCTTCGGGGGGGAGGCTGGGCTGGGGGGGCTGAGGGCAGCCGCAAGCTCATTTTTCGGAGGGGACGAGGCGGCAATGGTTCCCTGGCTGGTGACAAGCCTGCTTCTGGTATTGCCCTCTCAGGAGAGGCGTCAGGCAACCCCCGGGGAAATGTGCCTGGCCTGGAAGCCCTCGGGCCTTGACTGGATCCTTGCAAAGTGGCAGGAAAGCCCTCCCTTCTTCTCCACCACTGTTGGCCTTTCGGAACAACAGGAAGATGGAGGAATTGAGGAAGAGGCATTTCTACCCCAAATGGATGCTGCCATCATCAAAGAGGCGATGAATGCAAGGAAGCCTGGCCGCAGAGAGAGCGCTCAGTGACGCGAGCTAGACTTGGTGCCCACCCACCGCTCACCGGCTCTGCAGGCGTCTAGGTGCCACAGCGCCATCAGCTCTCCAGGGCCGTCCGAGCAGTGTGCTGCCTGACTTCGCTGCCGTGGCCCCTCTCCGGCCATTTCTGCTCTGGAGCAGCAAAACAGCCCCTGAAGGCTGTAAGCAAGGGGCCAGCATTTCCTCGCTGGGCAGGTTTAGGAGCTTCCTCTTCACGTGGGGGTGGGCCAGGACCCTGCACAGCCGGCCTGAGCTGCCCCCCGCCCGAAACGGAGCTCCTGCCATCTGCGCCGCGTCAGCATCTCACCCGCCTGCAGGCGCCGGGCTTTCTGCCCCTGGCACCCAGCAGGCGCTCTGGGCTTGTCTGGCACAGGTCCGGCCACCTGGTGGCCAGCCAGCCGGTCGCCTCTGGAGGCGGGACCCACAGCCGGGGCCCAAAAGCCCTGAGAGGGGAGGCGCCCCGTCTACGCACCAGGCCCTTGAAGAATCCCCCGAGGGACTGCCGCCGCTTCTCGGGTCTCTTCTGGGACTTGTCCCCGTTCGGCAGCGAGTTCGGCTCCCCGGCGGCCGGCTCCACGCCCGGGGCCGGCTCTTTGGCTTCCTGCTTGGTGCTCTTCTGCTTGTTGGTCTCCGCGGCTGCCTTCTTGTCCTTGGACGGGCCCTCTTTGCCCTTCTGGCCTGCAGCTGCCGCTTCTGGCTGTGGTGGAGCAACCGCCTTCTCCGTGGGGTCCGAGGTCTAGAGCAAGTTCAAACAAAGTGTATTTTTAGTGGCGGCAAGACAACGCTCACGAGCCTGTGAATGAATACGTTAAGACAGAGATGTTCAAAGGCTGGATGGTGTCTATGTGCCTCTGAGTCCTGGGTGAGACGGAAGAAAATAAGAAAAGATGTGTAATACTTTTCATGGTATGAAGCCAGAGCAGGGACATTTATTTACCAATCTGATCGTTCATTCATTGATGAATGCTTCCCCAGCAAGCGTTTTTTACTCCTGCTAGAACTAGAAGCTGTTCCTTGCAGAACCACCCTTCTCTCTCGTTTATCCCCTGTGGTTTTCACACACTAATTTCATCCTTGGACAAGGACACATGACCCAGACGTGGCCAACCAGAGCACTGTGTGTGACTGGGCTGCTGGGATTGGTTCAGACTGGCCAAACACAGCTAAACCTGAGCTGATATCAAAGATATGCTAAAACAACCAAGAGAGAGGTCTGTTCCCTTTCCTTTGAGCTGGAAGCTATGAAGATAAAAGTCTGGAGTATCAAGAACCCTCACCATTTCTAGGAAAAAATCTGCTTGAAAGAGAAACCCGTGGACACAGAGGCAAAGCAGAGATGAGAGCTGAAGAGAGAGAAAGGGAGACACACCCATGTTTCGCTGCCATCACACTGACCCTGGATCTAGTTGTTCCTGAAGCGCCCTTTTCTCATGAGCCAGCTGTGAGAGGGTTTCTCCCACGTGCACCACATGTGACTTTTCTTGGGTACGCCTGCTCTTCTCTGCGTGACTGTCTCCCTTAATCTCTGGTGTGACACTGCCATTGCATAAAACAGCAGTAAAAGAAGGTAGTTGTTTTATTTGTAGTTTTGAATGGACATCTTTTCATGGTAAAGTGCCATGTTTGCAATCCTACTTGGTTCCTATGGTTTGAAGGAATGAGGCTGTAAAATCCAAAATTCTAGGTAAATTACAGATGACCAAAAATCTGTTAGCAAGTAAAAGCCTTTTCCCCATAGTTTACTTGAACTGAAATGACGCTGGGGGCCATACAGATAGAATAAAAACGTGAAAGAGGCTAAGGGTTAGGATAATCAAGTGGTGACCTTATTTCCCCAGTTGTAAAAGGCTGACTTTATTTTTGGGGGGCTCCAAAATCACTGCAGATGGTGATTGCAGCCATGAAATTAAAAGATGCTTACTCCTTGGAAGGAAAGTTATGACCAACCTAGACAGCATATTAAAAAGTAGAGACATTACTTTGCCAACAAAGGTCCATCTAGTCAAGGCTATGGTTTTTCTAGTAGTCATGTATGGATGTGAGAGCTGGACTATAAAGAAAGCTGAGCGCCGAAGAATTGATGCTTTTCAACTGTGGTGTTAGAGAAGACTCTTGAGAGTCCCTTGGACTGCAAGGAGATCCAACCAGTCCATCCTAAAGGAGATCAGTCCTGGGTGTTCATTGGAAGGACTGATGTTGAAGCTGAAACTCCAATACTTTGGCCACCTCTTGCGAAGAGCTGACTCATTGGAAAAGACCCTGATGCTGGGAGGGATTGGGGGCAGGAGGAGAAGGGGACGACAGAGGATGAGATGGTTGGATGGCGTCACTGACTCGATAGGCATGAGTTTGAGTAAACTCCGGGAGTTGGTGACGGACAGGGAGGCCTGGCGTGCTGCGGTTCATGGGGTTGCAAAGAGCCGGACATGACTGAGCGACTGAACTGAACTGAAAAGCAACCTAAGGCCAAAGAATTATTTTTCTAGTGTAAGAAGAACAGTTCAAGCAATGCTGGCCTAAATGTTGGGGAGACAGATCGGAGTAGGGGGGACTATGGTGAGCTGAATGTCACATGCCTTGTTTAAAAGGGCAACAGCTGCTCAGATCCACCAAAGATATGATTGGATTACAGCCTGGCAGTGTCAGATCTTTTGTTTTTCAGTGGAGACGACATCGAATTATGGTAAATGCAAAATATGTTCATTTAAAAACACTGACAGCAGAAGCTTTAAAGCCCTGTTGACAGCAAACAACCACAGCGCAGTTATTCCTGTGGCTTCATTTGGCCCACTGGATACACACGCACAGCTTATGATTCATAAAACTTACGTCACAGAGTTCTATGCAAAGTGGCAGTTTTGATTCAGAAGCCAGAAAGTAATCACTTCACATCAGTGGATCAAACACACCCCTTAGACATGAGCAAGAAGACAGAGAAAAATTGCCCGGTCCTGAAGGCTCCCCCAGACTGCGGCACCCTGGAGGAAGGGACTCCTCGGAGCAAAGCCTCAGGCATCCAGGGCTCCCCGAGAAGCTGCTATACAAGCACACCTCCTGTCGGATCCCAGCTGCCTAAGTCGTGGCGGATGCTAAGAGGTCGGGTCCCAGCTGCCTAAGTCGTGGCGGATGCTAAGATGTCAAGTATAACAGGCACCCAGAGCAGACACTCGCCTCAGAAGGAGACAGACACCCCCAGCACGCTGCTCTGCCGAAGGGCAGAGACCAGCGGCCCTGCCACCCCTGTTCCCACACCCCTTTGCTGGCTTTGCCCCGCAGAGGATTTCAAGACACGGCGTGTAGCTGAGCGCTCAGTGTCTGGGGCCAGGGGAACACAGCGTGGCTCTGGCTTCACCGCATCCTTGCTGTGTGACCGGGAATAAACGGCGTGACGGCTCAGCTTCCTCTTCTGGATGGGGTAACAGTAACAACAACACAATCGTACCTCCCGGCACTGCCAGGACCACAGCAGCTGGTGACGGGAAGCCCCCGGAGGACAGGCCGTCTGGGTGCCGGACATAAAGGGAGCCACTGCCCTGGTCTGTCTGGGAGTGCAGTCGTCCCAGGACGTGGACCTTAACAGCTTTAAATCCAGGTCGTGTCTGACTCTCTGCGACCCCACGGACTGCAGCCCGCCAGGCTCCTCCGTCCATGGGATTCTCCAGGCAAGACTACTGGAGTGGGTTGCCATTTCCTCCTCCAGGGGATCTTCCCTGCCCAGGGATCGAACCCACGTCTCTAGCGTCTCTTGCATTGCAGGTGGATTCTTTACCGCTAGCGCCACGTGGGAAGCCCCCAAATCAGGAAAGTCCTGCAAACTGGGATGAACTGGTCCTCCTGGCTTAACACTCAGCGGTGACTTTGAGGGACGGTGGGTCCCAGTGCCAGGTACAGAGGAGGTGCTCAGGAAATGTTTGCTGGATCAGGTGCCCCTGTGTCTCACCGGCCTCGTTCTAGCCCTGTTCATCCTGCTGCAGCCACCGGGGGCTTTTTTCCCTTGCACAAGCCAACTCGGAAAGCAGAGCCTCCTCCTGGCTGCGCTGCTGCTCGGGCTGTCTCAGGGCTTCAGGGGCCGCATCTTTCCCATCAGGTCTCAGCCCAGCTGTGCTCCTTGGAGACGCAGTCCCAGCAGAGTTTGAGGAAGCCTGACCCCTTCTTGGGGAACACTGCTGAGTTTTCTTTATATGTGGGGGTTCTTTGCTCATGTGGAAGTGTTCTGACTCCCTCTGATGGAAGGGAAGCTCTAGAAGGATAAGACTCCTCTGTGTTCCTTCCATCGCTTTATCTCCAGCACCTCACCTGACACATGATAAGTCTGGAATAAACGGCCAGCAACCGGCCTTCCCAGTGTTCCCAAAACATTTCCCTTAGCACGTCACTCAGGTGTGAAGTGGGGAGTCCCCACAAACAGCTCCCCTTAGCACATCACTCAGGTGTGAAGTGGGGAGTCCCCACAAACAGCTCTCCTTTGACACTGATTTTTTTTCAAGAAGGGAGCTTTCAGTGGGCCCTATTTACCACATGGTTATGCCATCCCTATTAGCTTAATTAAAAAAAAATAGCTTAGAAGCTAAATTCTGGAAGCAATACATGGCTGAGTCCTTTCTTTCAAGATGAGCTAAGAACAGTGTATGATTGCTTTGTCATGAAATGCAGAAGATTTAGAACCTTTGCTTGGTGTTTGACCCTATACATTCTGAAAATTTATAACAAAAATTATTCACATCTGAATCATTTGACTGTGTCCCCTCCTAGAACCCAGGGACGTTTGCAGGAAGCTGGAGGACAAGATCATGGGAAGGTCCCATTTGATTCAGACACTGGAAGCCACCCAGGCTGGGAATTCCTTGTGCTTTCTGTTTGTGGAAGCATCAGTTAAGGCTTTTCTAACACAGAGAGGGAAAATCTAAAAGGAGCAGAGAATGTCTACCCCTCCTTCTAAAATTAAACTAAGCATTTGTCATCTCCCAATACTACACACAAATCTTCTCATGTCTGTATCCAAGACCCTGGAAAACAGAATTCTCAAAACATTCCTAGATGAGTGTAAATAGAAAGACATTTCCAGCTCATTCAGATTTCCAATGACTACAGTCAGATTTTAGAATCAAAATGATGGGCCTGTTTCACTGTCAGATTCCAGACAAAATGTACAAACATATTTAAATATTCCATAGTGAATAACAGACATTTATCATGTTTCCAAGACAGTAACCTTTGGGATTTTTAGTTCCAAAAGGGTCTATAATATAGGTTTGGAGGAGGGGTGGGCATAGTAGTCAGTTTAAAGAAAAAAAGATGAAAATAATCTGAGTGCTGTAAAAGGCAATATATTCCATGTCGAAATGTGTAAGAGAAACCAGCTATTATAGAAATAGAAATAATAAATTATTTAGTAATTTCTAGAATGTGTGTGTGTGATATGAACAACATTACAGGGCAGTAAATTATCGTCAGAGGCCATAATACTAATGAAACAGCAGCAAAAGCTGTTATATGGCTTTATATGTTGAAGTCCTAATCCCCAGTGTGAAAGTGTGTGGAGTAAGGAAGAATCAGGTTGCCCAAACATTCGTTTGAATGTTTGTCTGAATGAACTTTTTGGCCAGCCCAATAATTAAGGCTAATTGAGGTAGTAAGAATGGGGCCCTGATTCAACAGGGTCAGTGTCTTTGTGAGAAGAGACACCAAGATGCTCGTTCTCTCTCCTCTCCGTGGTGTTCTGTTACGGCAGCTCATGCTGTTAGACAGCAACTAAAATTCACTGAATCCTCTCTACCAGGAATGTTCTAAGCGCTTCACATGTATGCTGCTAAGTCACTTCAGTCGTGGCCGACTCTGTGCGACCCCGTCCCTGGGATTCTGCAGGCAAGAACACTGGAGTGGGTTGCCATTTCCTTCTCCAATGCATAAAAGTGAAAAGTGAAAGTGAAGTCGCTCAGCCGTGTCTGACTCTTCGCGACCCCATGGACTGCGGCCCACCAGGCTCCTCCGTCCATGGGATTTTCCAGGCAAGAGCCCTGGAGTGGGGTGCCATAGACTTCTCCGTTCACACGTATAGATTCATCTAAATATGACAGTCCTATAAAGCAGTACATTTCTTAGCCCCATTATAGAGATGAGGAAACTGAGGCCTGGAGGGATTGTTAATTTGCCTTTAGTCACACAACCAAAAAACAGTTGAGCCAGGATTCACACCCAGACAGTTTGAAGCCTGCAGCCCATACTCTTAACCATGCCTCCGTATTGCCAAAATTAGAAGAATATTTGATGACATTTTTTTGGAGGTATATTTCTAAGTTAAGAAAGAGTGCAGATTATAAAATAGGATGTTGAGCATGAAATGATTCCCACTGGGGGAACAAAAAGGATGTATATAGTTATACAAACAGAGCTATTTCTTTAGGATAGAGAAAATGACAGACACCACCCCCTGACCCCATGTCTTTCACTGGCCTGCTCCAGAAACAGCTGCTACTATGTACCAGGCACCATGCCGTGTGAAAAAAACAGGACAGGTCCCTGGTCCCTGCCTTGCTCCCCAAGCGCTCCAGACAGCGGTGGGAGGGGGAAGGGGAGACAGATGACTAACGGACAAATGACTGACGTAAGTGCCATGAAGTAAAGGTGCGAGGTGCAGTGATGATGGGTGGAAAGGGAACAGTTTTTGAGGAGGTGACGTTTAAGCCCAGATGTGAAGAACGAGGAGGAATTCTCCACGTGTAGAGAGAAGAGCGTGTGTGAGGCTTCACAGTAAGAAGCAGCTGAGGAACGCCAGCTTGTCCGTCAAAGTATCTGGAGTAAAGAATTAAGGCTAATTAATGTCATAAAGATGGGGCCCTCAACTAACAGAATTAGTGTCTTTGTAAGAACAGAAATCAACACACTCACTTTCTCTCCTCTCTCTGGTACCGTATGGTAGCTCATGCTGATAAACACAGTAATGAACATTTATTATGTCTTCAAAGTCTAAGGTGGTGCCTGGTATATAGTAGGTGCCCGACCTGGAGATGTCAGACGTGTTGGCTGTGGTTGAGAACTCACTGGACATGAGGCTCGAAAGAACCAAGAACATAGCAGCTAAACCCACCACCGAACCGAGCTTACAGATCACTTACTTGGTAGCCGGAGTCTTTCCCATTTATTTCTTCAGAGTGGGTGATCCCTCCATCCCCTTTCACTGACTAAAATAACAAACAGACAATGGCCTTTCAGTGACCACAAGCACAGCAACAGGGAAAATGCAAGGGAGGTTCTGAAACGGATGACCTTAGTCTTTCATCGCTGAGATTCAAGGTCAAGATAAATGGAAGACCAACGAGAAACGCATTACTCACGAGACATACACTTTCCATGGAGTCGGTATCCAGAGTCTGATTAAATTCAAGTGTTGGTCTCCAAAAACAACAATAAAAATCTTAAATCCTGAGATTATGTTATTCTGGGATAAATAAGTGATGATGAAAATCCTGATGCTGGAAGCAGAACATGGGACATACGGAATATATGAAAAAATACACGAAGTGCTAAACCGTTGGCAGCTATCTGTTGGTGACACTTAGGTGCTGGGTGTTTTGGCGGTTACTTTCTGCCCCTTGGAGAGAGATGGGTTATGTTGCACATTCTCTTTTCCAACGTTTAGCACCCCCGCCGTGGCCAGTGGCATCAGGGACGTGCTGAATGGGGTTGAAGTCACAGCTTTGGCTCCTTAAACCGACAATCTAAACCAGAGGTTCTGCCAGTGTGATATTGGCGCCAGCCGCTTCAGCGTCTCCTGAGAGCTGTCCAGCCCAAAGGCAAATGGGGGTCTATTCTCTGCGCACATGTTAGACCCGTTCAGGTGAAAGCTGGCTTTCTTCTCCCTCTAGGTTTCTTGCATGGTTCTACAAGGCCCATCTTCTTGAGAACAGTTAGCAGGGAAAAGGGTTCTTGGTTATTATTTTGCTCCCTACAACCAGCTCCTTCAGGTCTCCCCTGAAAGTCTGACCACTTTGGGGGTTCCCGGGGCCTCTAGAACTCAGGCTGTATTGTCACTGACCCTCCTACTCAAACACGCTCCATAGTGTCCTTTAGAACACAGAGCCCTGCCTTCATGAGCTGGCCGTTAGGGAATGCTGAAAGGCAAAAGCCAACCAAAGTGCTTTTTTAAAGGAAAACCTGAATGGACATTAGGAGTCATATTACATCCCCCTAGGACAGAGATTTTTAACTTCCCTAAATTTAATTGTCTCAATTTGCTAGTGCTAGGTGCCTGCCACTTTAAGACTTAGATCTGCCTTCCTCTCCCCTTCCCTGCTAGCCTTTGGTGGGAGCTGGGGGAGGGGGCCTTGGATTGAATCTGCGGGTTCCCTTGGCAGTAGTGGATCTAGGCTACCATCCTGAAAACAGACTCTCATGATGCCAGGGAAATCACTGCAAAGAAGTTCAAAGTCTAAAAAAAGTAAAGGAGACTGCCTGGAGCTTTTTTATGATTGTTCTCGGCTCTTCATTTTGAGGCATAGTTTAGTAGTCTAGTTGCTCAGTCGTGTCGGACCCTTGCGACCCCATGGTCTGTAGCCCTCCAGGCTCCTCTGTCCATGGGGATTCTCCAGGCAAGAAGACTGTAGTGGGTTGCCATTTCCTTCTCCAGAGGGTCTTCCCAACCCAGGGATCAAACCCGGGCCTCCTTTATCGACTGAGCTACCAAGCTGCATTTATGAAAAGGTAACTGTACGGTGAGTTTAGACGAAGAGTCTTGTTAAGTCTGTCTGCGGCCTCTTCAGCATCAGCAGGCACTGACAATTCCCTGCTCCCTCTCTTCCTTCCTTCTTCCTCTCTCTCTCTCTGTCTCCCCCTCTCTCTCTTGCATTCTTTCCATCCCCTCTCTTTCCTCTCGGCCGAGCCCTCTTTCAGCGATAAATTAAAATAGTTCCTGTTGGGCTTTGTACTCAAAGGGCCATAACCACAGCAGCTTATTTTTCCCCCAGCTGTCAAAAATAACAGACTTGCTGTTTAAAGGGATGAAAAAATCCTTTCAGAGACTATTTAGTACTTTAAAGAACAGTCTGAAGACTATTAAGCAATTTCGGAGATTTCCCAGTGTGATATTATTGAGCAACTTTCTTTACAAAGTTTATTTTTATTCATGGGAATCAAAGAGAAGTATCTCAGGGCTTGGATTCGCAACCAAGCCTTGCATGTTAATAAAATCACTTTTTAAATGTCTTTCATTGTGCCATGCATGACTATAGCTTCATTCTCTGAAGAATGTTTGAAGCATCTCTGATATATATCACTTATTCAAAATCCTAGTGGAAACGTTTGGTGGTCAGTTCCCATCTCTTTGAAAGGAATGCAAATGTTTTTTGATAAAGATCTACTTCAACTTAAGTTGATATTTAAAAGAAGAATTGGGATGACATTTTATTTTAGTGAGTACAATAGCCTGATTGTTGACTAAATCAGCCTCATTACAACGGATTCAAGGAACTGGACCTGCTAGAAAGCTCCAGGATAAACAAAGGTTTTGAGTCCAACCTTTGTGTTTTACTAAGAGGCTCACTTGGAATGGAATTGGACAATTCAGGCAAAATGGCACAGCCAACGTAAATCTCATTTTAGTGGCAAGTGACACATTCAGAAAACTTGCGTCCAAGCTTTACGAAAGTCATTGATTAATTCTCTTATCTTTTACTTTGTCATATTTTCAGGTAAGTGTCATTTCAGGTAAGCCCAACACTTAAAAATGGTGTTTCCACAGAGAAGATAAATAAGAAAATCACAAAAGTGGACCTTTGGCTGTTCTGTCTGCTGTTAAAGAAAACAGCTCCCAGAAGCAGAGAGAACCAGGGCGAGCTTTGGAAGCAACGAAAGCCAAGTGTGCGTTCTGCCTCTGCCGGTCACAGCTCCCCGACCTTGGGCAGAGCCTTCAGTACGCCCATTTGCACAGTGGGGCCGTAAGAGGTTTGCTGGCAGGGCCTTTGTGTTATAAATGAGTTAATGCACGCATGTGCTTGGCACAGGACTGCCTACATAATTTGCATGCAATAAACAAACGGCAGCTATTATTATTACTATTAATAGCTGAGACCTGCCAAATGACTACAGAGTCCCTGGTGAAGATGGGAATTGCCCAAAACAAATGCTACTTTAAAAAACCTTTCCTTAAAGAACAACTTGGTATTCATATTTTAATACTTGGGAGGAATCCAAGATTAAAAACTTTGGCTAAAAGACTCCTGTGTTTTGTTTTAGAGTTATCCTTACAAACAAGTCTCTTTTTTTCCATGAGACAGTCCATGTCAGCAGGTTTTCTTAGACTTCCTAGATTGATGCAATTAACAAAACCCCTCTGATTTCACGACTGTCTCGTTTGGACATTTAATTTTCCCAATATTAAAGTTTAGGAGTCTTTCTTATCTAAGCCTGAGATGGTTATTCCAACAAAGAGTTTCTTAAAAATCAATGGTCTAAAGAAAGAGACAGGAGGAGGATTAAAGGAAACACTGACAATAGTTTGCAGGAGAAAGCACTTTTCAAGTATAAGGTGTTATTAATATTGACAAAGTGAAAAATCTACATCTTTATACTTCCATCTACCACCTTTCTGGTTTCATCTGCCCACCTCGTTTGTGGGTACCTGAATACAGTTCTCTACCCACTCACTTTGTAAAAATACCCTAGTGCTTCAAATAGCCAATTTCTTGACACACCGTTGAATTAATACACATAAGAATTGCTTTCTATTTAGGGTGTGACAGATGTCTTAGCTATTCCTCGCAAATATTTCGGAGTCTGTAGGAGCCCATAGGATCTTTGCAAAGCGCTACATCTGATGCGTTCAATGCGATTTTAGGACTTAGATGCCTCTAGTTTATCTTCCTTGCAATATAATTATTTGAAAAATGATTTTTATGAAAGAATAATGTCTGGGGAAAAAAATCTCTTCAGAAATCAACTGGGCAATGCATTTATTAAAAAAAAAGATTCAACCAAGAGGGTGAATGAGATGCCATGAGATAGTAAAATATGCTATCTGAAAGAAATTTAAGGGATGTGAAGACTAGAAAGTAGAAAATCAATGGTCAGATGAATTGAAACCCTGATTAAAAAATGAGGGTGATGTATTTGCAACTGAGTTTTCTCTTCTATTAAAGTCAATTATTTTTAAAAATTTATTTATTTTTAATTAAAGGATGATTACTATATTGGCTCATTACTAAAGTCAATTAATATTAAAAACTATATTCTGCTAAAAATATCTGAAGTCAGTTTAAAATATTTACTTATTAAATTATAATGCTTAGGCACATACTCAAAAAAAAAAAAAAAAAGAAAGAAAAATCCCATAGTGATGGGCCAGATGCTGTCTATCTCCAAGCCCTGAGAGAAGATTTTAATTTTTCTTACAAAAATCCAAAGACTTTTGTTTGGAAGCCATGAAATGTTAACTGGAAGTGTATCCTGAAACTAACTGCTAAAGCCATCTTGCAGGAGTGTACTCCATGTGGATATTAACACCTGTGCAGAAAATAGGTTATAACGATGTTCATGCATTTTGGTGAAGCAGCTGAGATTGTGAGCAGAAGATACATGGTATGTGCTCACTGAATGTGGCATAGACGTCAAAATAAATCTGTTTTCTTTACTAGGTTTTGTTCTCTGTGAAGACGGGGGCCACATCTGTTTACGCTCACTGTTGCCTTTCTGCTGCCTGTAATATCGTGGGGGCTTAATGATGTTTGCTGAGTAAGTGAATAAATGAAATGCAGAAAGTTGGCAAGAAAGCAAAGTCCATCAACAGAGCAAAGGCTCGTCAGAACATGATAATGTAATGATAATTCAGTATATTTCTATATGTATATGTAATGATGATTCAGTATATTTATATATATCCAGTATAATCATGATAATTCAGTAATGTCAATGAACAATGAGGATATCTGGAATTTTAGGGGAAACCCCAACCATCATGGAAGCTTAGGGTTTGAACACTAAAAGGAGGCACTAATATTCAAATTCCCAGGTCTAACCTTTTTAATGGGAAACAGAAAATAAGAATAATGGACACTATGAGATCTGATGCTATGAATTGACTGAGGGTTACTTAGGGGAAATTATGTCCTTTTCTACCTCATCCCTATCCTGCAGAAAATCGATTCCAAGGGACTTTTATTTCCAATTTGTTCCCCTAACAGTTCAGACTTAACAGTTTCTACTGCTATAAAACATCCCCAAACATCTAGTGGACAACTCTGGAGGATGAGTTTAAACAGGGGACCTCACTTGAATTCAAGGATGTGTTTGGAATGGATGCAGTGGGTGGTTGAGAGGTCTTTCCTGCTTTATCTGGAGTCCCTCATATCTTTCTCTCTTTTAAAGGAAGAAGTCTCATGTCAATTATTTGGAAGACAAGGCCATTCTGTTTTCCTTTCTTTTTTTTTTTGTATCTTTCAGCTCCATCCAGAAATGAGAAAGCTGGATCACCCTCAGTGTTATGATGAGTTATTTGGGGATCCCATTTGTAATTCAGATGGGCTGCCAGAAAGAGGCCAAATGTTCTTCTCCTTCCTGATGTCATGTACAAATTGATTTAAAAATCTCAAATCTCAATGCCCGTTTTCAGTGCCAAATTGCAGAATAACTGGCCAGGAATATAGATGGGGTTCCAGTCATGCAGATTGCCCACTACTTCTTACTCCATGAGAATTCGGCAATAAAAGAAAATGATTCCCATCAGCAATTTCTGACAGTGATTTTTAATATGTCTCATCTCCCACTGGCAAGGGTTTTGTTCTGTTTTGTTTTGTGGACTAGAAAGAATTCCTTAACAGGTTGAGCTTGTGAAATTAGAGAGTTGCTTTCTCAAAGGATTAAATTCCCAAATACTCCTGGAAATAAAGGCACAGTATAATGAAATTCTTGCTTTTCATTAAAACGGAATTAAACCAATGACCTTTTACATGTTTTTTGTGTGTGTGTGTGTGTATTCCAAACAATTGGGGTTTGATTGCATTATATTATTTAAGTTCCTGAATGTTTAGATATTTAATATACATAACTCTTCATAGATGCCCAAAGATGTCTGCCCACATTCTTTCTATGCTATAGAAGTTAAGAACGGCAAATTTGCCAACTAAATTACACATGCTATTAGGAAATTGTCATTTCCTTTCATATCATATCCTGTCTGGAATTGTCTATAAACCGGCTTTGCCCAAATTTGTGTCACTCACACATCCCCTTCAAAAGTTTTCCAACATCAAAATATAAACTGAACTATTTATTACTCAATCCTTTAAAAATGCCTTATGTGCTTTATGGAAGTAAAAAACATATTTTCAAAGGAAACTGCATATTATTACCATAACGAGGAAAGCGGAATCGCTTGCCAAACACAGAAGGAAAGTTTTAAAAATAAATAAAATTAGAAGTAAATAACATAATTTCCAGGTGGTTACTGTTGGCTGCCCCCGCTCAGGAGCCTAGGCGAGCTCTTCCTTTGTTAAGAAGGAAGTTAGCAGGGGTTGAGGGTTAAGGAAAATGAGCAATGAAGAGATATTCTCTGTGATTGAATCAGCAGGACGAAAGGGAATTTTCTCTGCACAGTTGGCATTTAGTTGATATTCCCTCCATACTACCTAGAACCCTGGCTAACCTCCTGCCTCGGGCTCCTGACCTCAGAAGCTGGCGCGGGCATTTCCGTTCCCCTGGACCGGAGGCAGAGCTTACCATCTGTCTGAGGAGCGCCAGCAGGGAGGGCCTGGGGGCTTGGCGGTCCTCTCTCCTGGGCATCTCTTCTGCAGGCTCAGGTGCGCGCTCTCCGTCGTCGCTGAGACCCACCGTTTGCAAGGCTGCTTCTGCTTCCTCAGACTTTACAGCCTCCACTGGTGATTCACACACCACCTGGATTGTTCGGCCAGGTGATGAGGCAGTGGGGGGAAGAAAAACACCCCCAGACATGTTTTATAAAGTGGGGTCCTGGTTGTCCCCTCACCCACAGGGCTGCTGCCGATCGGAGCCTAGAGCCATTTCTACACGGGCATGGCGTCAGAAAGTAACCCGGCACACCGCGTGCTCTCCAAAGACACGGATTCAGAAGAGGCAGACTTCCTGCCCGGTGAATTCAGCCGCAGGCTTTGGCTAAGGACTCCCTTTTAGGAAAGGCCCTTCAGGGCACAGGCAGCACCTTTTTCACTCTATTAGACCCTCTTAGACTCATTTGGCCTCCCGTCAGGGTGAGTCACACCTGGCTTACGTGGGAACCGGGCGTCGTTATTTCCTTACGGGTCCTAACTTGAGGATGGTAGCAGGGATGGTTCCCACTGCACAGCCCAGCTCCCCACCGCTGGAGAGAAACCACCCTCTTTGCGGAAAGGATGGCGGGAAGAGCTCTCATTCATGGCCGTGACTTCCTCATCACCATTGCCCACTCTTCCTCAGACGAGCCATTTGTTCCTGTTGCTTAACTGAAGTTCCTGCTCTCAGAAGCAGGATGAACTCGACAGAGGAACTCTAAGCTCGCAGGGTCCTCAGTGAGCTGTCTGAGCGGCTGGCCAGCAGCGGGGCTGAGACAGAAGCCCTGCCCTCAGACGACTCACCGGAGCTCCGACTCCAAACCTGCCTGTCTGCACTGCCTCACTCCCTCTGCGCTGGGCATCTTACACCTGGGGCGGCTTTTGTGTCTGCATTTGTCCTGGCAACAGGACAGAGTTAACTGGCCTGGAGAGAGCTTTATAGCTTCCTTTTTGTTTCCGCAGGCAGGGGTTGGCAAACTTCTACCAAATTCTTCCCAGAGTCTGCTTGGGGATGGCCCCTGAGCTAAGAATAGATTCTACATTTTTAAAGGGTTGGAAAAATTGTTTAAAAAGATGAAAAAATTGGCAACAGAAACTCTATGTAGCCGGCAAAATCTGAAACATTTACTATTTGGCCCTTTCCACAAACACTTGCCATCTCTGCCTCAGAGAGAAGTCTCTAGAGCCAATGGCATCTCTGCATTTGTTTTGGCTGGTACCAGACCCCCAGCTTCCTCCAAATCCTTTTCTTGCTGTTAGGGTTGAGGGGAGGGGAACAGAAACAACATTTCCAGAAACAACAGCATGATTGTGGAGAAAATATTTTCCTTTCTTCATGCAGAAAATATCACTGGTTTGTAAATAACCCAAATGATCTGAATTGAGAAGGACCCTTCCTTCTATATCGTCAGTTGAAGCAAGAAGGCATCCATCAACAAATCAACATACAGACACATCCTAAAACATGGCAATTAAATCACAGCACTCTCTCCTCACCTTCCATTTCTTAAGGTATTGACGAGTTTCAGCATTTCTCTTTTGTAATCTAAGATCTAGTCGGGGAATTATAAAGTCTAAAGTCCCAGAATGCACGGTAGGTGACGTCAGCATGGACTGACCAGGGGTAAGACAAAAGGAGTGGTGGGTGCTCTGGCAAACGAAAGTTAAGTTGTCCCATCAGAAGATGTTAAGAGACTAAAAGGGCTGTGCTGGCCAACAAAGCCTGTTTGAACGAGGTTTCTGCTGCTGGGGTTCTGAACTCTGACCCAGGCCTGCCTTTAGGAAACTATGCATTGACTAGGGCAAAATAAGAGCCTGGATTGGCGGTCAAGTGTGGTCCTGGATTTCCACATCCGGGACTGATTTAATCCAAGTAAGTTCCAGCCGGAGAGCCGGCAGTCTGCTACAGTGACTGAGGGCAGGTCCAGCGCCCGCCGGCCTGGGCCTAGGTCTAGACTCCGCCCTCCAGGGGCGCTAATCCAAGGTTCCTGCACCTTCGTCTTCTCATTTCTTGATGGGGATAGTACACACATCACAAAGTTGTCTTGAGAATTAAATCAGGCAACGTATTTAAAGTTCTTAGAACTGCGCCTGGCACACAGTAAGCATTCAGCGAATACCAGTGGTTGTCACTTTGAGAGCATGGGCAGGAATTATCTGAAATCGCCCACCATGCACGTATCCATTATTTAGAAAAGATATCAACAACTCTCTCTTATTATGTCAGATGTACAAGGTGTTTTTAATATGTTGCCTCAGTAAAGGGTTACTGAGTTACTGGGGACAGCTCAGTCTCGTTTACAGATGAAGCATCTGAATGAGTGAATGATATAGTCAGTATCATACCAACAGGTAATTAGCCATTTCAATGAGGATGGAGCTGTTTGCCAGTAATCAAATATCTAATAGTGTCTTAACAGATAACAGTATGGAACAGGATGTTATGGGGTTGGTTTGGTGGCTCCACAAAGTTTCTAAGAACCTGGCTTCTAGCTATCCTCTGACTCTGCCATCCTTGGATTTTCATCCTTTTATTTGCTACCTCATTGATATAAAGTAGTTGCCACAATCTCAGGCATCACATCCTCAACCCAATGTCCTAAGAAGGGAGGAAGGTCACAACAAAAAATTTTCTCCAAGTGAATTTCTGTATTTTGATCCTCTAACGCAGAGTACATCTCATTGGCCAAACGTAGGTTACATCCTTATCCCTAGGTTAATAATTGCTGAAGAAAATGGGATTTGGTTTAGACAAATCGCAACCAAATACTTGGGGCTGTGGTAGTGACCAACCTTACCTAATATCAAGGGGAAAGGGTGCAGGAATGAGAAATGGCCCTTAGGTAGGTAATGAACAGAGTCTGACTCACTGACTCTGGGTTTAGAATTTTTGTGTCGTTGAAGAAGCAAGTTATCTGTGTGTGTGTGTGTGTGTGTGTGTGTGTGTGTGTGTAGGGATGAGAGGGACAATTACTCATATGATAAAATGACTATATGGCAATAACTTTGTAAATCAACTTTATTTGAGTGCCAATGGCTTCTTTCTGGGCCTTTCTAAATGTCAAGAGGTGTCAACTTATAAATCATAGCCCACAGTCCATTCTTCCAAACACAACTATTTCAGTAGGGGAAAAAAAGAGACTTCTAGAGACTCTCATTAGCTTTGAAGTCAGGCCAAGAAGTTGGCTTTCAGCAGCCAAGGGGGGAAAAAAGATCCATCAGCATCCAATGTGGAAATCTAGAAGGATTTGAGCTAAGTGAGGATCTTATTTACATATACAGACACGAGAATTTGATTTTTATTTGGATAGTTTTCTAATTTCTTTCAAGGCCAGAGAAAGAAAAATGGAAAAATGGAAAATGGAAAAAAATGATATTCCTTATTCAGAATATATGACTGCATTTGTACATTTTAACTTTGGGTGTAATGGGCATAGTGAAAACTGGATTTATACTATATTTTAGAATTAAATCTCCTTTGCTTGATTTCAGCTGTTGTTCAGTTGCTAAGCCCAGTGCCTTGTGACCCCATGGACTGTAGCTCACCAGGCTTCTCTGTCCATAGGGTCATGTCCAGGCAGGCATACTGGTGTGGGTTGCCATTTCCTTCTGCACGGGATCTTCCCAGACCAGGGATTGAACCCACATCTTCTGCACTGGCAGGTGGATTCTTTACCACTGTGCTATCAGGGAAGCCCTTGACTTCAGTAGGGGATGTTATATGTCGGATGAAGATGGCCAGTATGACTAACACAGGAAATACATTCAGCAAAAGGCTTCACTTTTGCCTCTAATGTTATACCATATTTACTCTTGAAATTTGGTTTACATAGTTTTTACTAGAGCTGCGAGTGTTAGAAACTGATTTATAGCAAAACAGATTTCCTGCACTTAAACTCCACCTATGCCATGATAATATTGATAATATTGACAATTTTTATTTTAGATTTTTTTTAGATCCTTTCTGATTTGATTTATAACCTGATTATTTGATTGCAAAGACATTCTAGAGATTTTATTTTTATACCCAACTCACAGCTGATACACAGCATAAATGGGGGGGAAGAAAGGACTTTTGCTACTGAAAACCACTGGCACTGGGGCTTGGTTGTTACTGCAACGCAACCTGGCAGATGCTGACTGATAACGCATGTGAACCCATTGAAGTCGATGAAAAAGAACAAACTCCAGGGCATGTAGGGTTGCTGCTGGACGGGTCTCTCCTTTGTTCTGCCCTGGCTGACATGATGCTGAAAACCTGAGGAAGGAGCCAGGCCTGGAAGGCGGAGCCAAGGGAGAGCCTGAGGGCCAGCAAACCTCACTTTCTTTTTCTCCAGGGAGAGCTGGGTGTGCTCTCCCTTGCAGCTGACGAGTTCGTCACTAAGAGAAAACCAGCAGACCTACCTGTTCCCCTGACCTTGGAGCTTATAGGGAAGGAAAGCTGTTCCCCCCTCATGAGTTAGAACACTACTTCAGGTTAACCAGCGTTCCAGACTTTTTCAGATTACTCAAAGGATTCAATATTCTCTGTAATCAGGATAAATAAAAACTTGCCCCTGATAGAACCAGAGGTTTATTCTATGAAAAGAGTTAATTGGTTTCAAAAACCTTATTTTTCTTTTCATGAAAAAATTTGAAATCCCTCTGATTTGTGCTGACTGATCAATTTTGGGAACTCGTGGTAGAGATATTTTTTAAAAGTAAACTCAACCACATTTTAGCCGTAAGAAGCTGCGAGTGAAAAGGCTCTTGTAATATGGTTAAATGACACCTATTTGTCCCATTCTAAAAGTTTAGAGTACAGTCCATTGCTTTGACTAACACCACCTCTTTTACTCAGGAGAAGGAAATTAAACTAATTGATTGTTTTTCATACATCTTCACTCCACGTGGACACCGAGTCAGCTGTGAGCTGTGTAGTTTCACAAGGAAATAGAAACCCTGATCGCTGGGAAGCGCCCACTTACTGATGCTACACCACATGTACACTGACATTCCTGCAAAACGCCCCGGGATGACTCCACCCTGCCCCCTGCAGCACGAACGCAGCACAGGTAGGAAGGTGTCTGTGTTCTAAAAAAACTTTATCTATAAATGCCGAGATTTGAATTTAGTATAATTTTCATATATCACAAAATATTATTCTTCTTCTTTTTTTCCCCAACCATTCAAAATGTAAGAACCATTCTTATTTAGCTTGTGGGGCATATAAACACAGGTGATGGGCTAGATTTGGCCGTGAACTATAGTTTGCCAACCCCTGAATTACTGAGTTCTTTTGTGTTTCAGGCATTATTCATGTAATTCTCACAGGAATCCTTACAAGGGGTAGGTCATATTATTATGGCCATTTAAGAGATGAGGCGACTGAGGTCCAAAAGGTAGCACAGCCTGGGGGTAATGGGGCCAAGATCACAACGTATTTACCTTATTCTTTTCAACCAGCAGTCAGTTAGAGAGGAAATGTGGAATCTTAAAATGAGAACATTATTGGTAGGGCTAAGCAATTTAAAGCATTTAAAAATGCTTCTTTATTTTCTTGAAAAAACATTTTGCATTTGCTTGCATCTCTATCTGACTTTGTGTTATCTTTTGGTATCAGTCATTTAACTCTAATTCATGTTATTTTTCTGTTCTAAATTTCACAGTAGAAAGTGAGGCCCTGTCTATTTGCCTGTTAGAGATCTACTCTGCATTTGCATATGCAAGCTGCAAGACACATGGGATTCCTCGGAGAGCCAACTACACACAGACATACAAAAAGACGTTTCACTTCAAAAAACATGGAACTTGGAAGCTAACAGATGCTTTGGATTTAACCTGCAGCTTTTAAATGTAAAGTTCCTGGGAAGAAGACTCATGGAGTTCCCCCTTGTAGGGTGCTGAAATAGAGAGTTAGGTTTTCTAGAAAATAACCAGTAAACTCATGAGAATTTTCTGCAATTACAAGAGTCCTGAGGTTTACGAGCTAGTAAATTTGGCTCCAGAAAGGGGGAGGGAGAAGGAGGGGAGAGAGAGAAGTAAGGAAGAAGGAAAGAGGGAGGCAGGAAGGAGGGAGGGAGGAGAGAGAAAGAAGCAACAGCAGCAACAACGCAGATTCCAAAGCGCTCTCTCCCAACGAGAATCACGACATAGCCATTCCAATTTTTACTCCACATCACAGACAACATTTCTGGACATATTTGGATTTTCAACTTCTGCTCAGTTCCAGCAGTTAAATAAAAGTGAAAACACAAGCCCCGTCCATGGCAAGCAAACAAGAGACACCGCGGAAGAGCCAAACATATTTTGCTTTGGCCAAATAATAGCGATCAGTTTCTATCTTAAGGAGCTGTGAACTTACACAGCCCACTTATAACATTTTTTCCAAAGACTGCACTTCTTTTAGAGCAGACAGCTGCTGCTCTGGGTCTGACACTCACAAAGCCAATTTGTTCATCTCCCTGGAAGATGTTTTGTAATGATACATTTGTGTGATGGCTTACACGGAGCCATCTTCTTAGACACGAATGCACTGTCTTGAAAGTCTTGACCATCATTCTTGGAAATTAAAGGCCCCAAAGAGAGTGAGGTTCAACTTGTGTCTGTCAAGTGCAGACCCAAGGAGTCAGCTCTCCTGCCCGAGAGAATGTCTCACAGCATCTATTGCAGCAATATGCTCTGATGCCTGGTGCAACTACCTGCCCTGAGTACCACCCACGGTTAGTAGAGAATCTAGGTTGCCATGGAAATAAAGGCGAAAGAACAATCAAATAAAATGAAGCAGAGAGTGCAGCATCATGTCCCTTAAGGAAGTGGCAAGATGTTCTTCGGTTGAGTAGACTCTTTCAGCCCCGAAACGGTAACAAATGCTAAAAATGTGTGCTCTGATTCTGCATTTCATCTGCATTGATTCAATGGGTGTTACAACTATTGATCCAAAGTTATTTCCCCATGGTCACTAATCACGTGAAAGGGTGAAAGAGTCTACAGCGGGTGAATCACACTTGGAGCATGCAAGAACCCATAACCCCAGAGCTGACGTGCCCAGGGGTTCATCCCACCAGAGATGACTATGGAATGATTCTGTCATTGCATGTGTAACTTACATTCTCCTCTGCACCTGTGGGGACTGAGTCCTCTTTAACTGACTGAAGGGAAGATAAAAACAAAAGCAAGAGTTAGTATGTTACCAAAACCAGGGCTAATGGCTTTCTGGTGCCATTCTTGGGCGTTGCTTATGCGCACCTTGTTCCAAGAAGAACTCAGATGAGGTTTATACAAATATAAACAATGTAAATTAAATTACATATTTTAAAATGCAAGGAAGGAACAATAAACATACAGATTCAGCCTGAATACAAATGGAGTGATGAGGGGATGCTACAGAAACACAAACGACGCTCTTGGCTGTGGGCAAGCAGTAATAACACCTTTGCCTTGACAGTTCCTGGTAGCTGTTGAAAAGAGGGACCTACGATCTGTCACACAAGATAGTCACTGTTGGGTAAGACGCACAAGCTGCTCAGGAAAATTCTGGTAATGTGTCCAGAGCAATCCATCCCGTGATCCTCTGAGAGGAAGCGGGCACTGATGTGATAAGCAGGGTCCTCAGCCTTATCCTGATGGTCAGACAGTGGCCAGCGTCTGAAGCTGCTTCTTACCAGCCTTCGATGTGGGCCAAGGTCATTGTGCCAAAGAGCAGTCTGGTTAAAGTACTTCTGTGGAGGGCAAGGGGGCTGGGGTCCAGCATAGCCAGCTTCAAACCCTGTTAATCCCTGCAGTAATTCTAGCATCTCGGTCCTGTCCCAGATAGAGGCATTACCAAATTCTATCAAAGGTCAATGTCACAATCGTCCTATCGGTTTGCCAAGCTCCATTTCTTGCAGTTGTTCTGACGCATTTTGGGGTGGGTGGTTGGTGTTTACAGGCCACTGCGAGACTCACTTGTCAGAGCTGGATTCTCTTCCCAGAAAAGTAAGCTTGAACAAAATATTTTACAAATAACTCCAGGGTGTTCATAAGTAAGGAAGTGTCGTTGCTCAGTCGTCTCCGACTCTTTGCGACCCTGTGGACTGTAGCCCACCAGGCCCTCTGTCCGTGGGATTCTCCAGGCAGGAGTACTGGAGCAGGCTGCCAGTGTTCACAGACCCTTGCATTTCCTCTCTTGGCCTCCGGGGCAAGAGCTCTGTCTCTGTCGGTGTTTCTTTCTTTCTTTGTGCCTGTGCTGGCTCTTTGCGGCTGCGCTCCGGCTTCTCTCCAGTCGCCGCGAGCAGGGGCCAGAACTTCTCCTCGCCGTGGCTTCTCCTGTGGCGGATCGCGAGCTTCGGCAGCTGTGGGACCTGGGCTCAGAGGCTTGGCTCCTGGGCTCAAGAGCACAGGCTCAGAGCTGCTCTGAGGCCTGTGAGATCTTCAGGGATTGAACCTGTGTCTCCTGCAGGCGGATTCTTCACCACTGAGCCATCAAGGAAGCCCCATCGATGTTGATTTTGTCCCAAGCTCTGCCTTTAGTTTTTCCTTGAAAACACGCAGTGTGAGAGAGAAGGGAAGCTGACATTCACAAACACATCCTCTTCATTTGGCGCTTTGTGAACATCATCTGACTTAAAGCGGTCCTAAGCGGACAGTACGCCCATCTTCACTGATACAGCAAGAAACAAAAGTACAGAGAGCTGGAGCCACTTGATTAGGGTGGTACAACTAGGGAATGATGGAAACGGTTCCAAAAGAAAGTTTCCCCCTGCCGTGATGATCTGAAGGGTCAAAAACAGTTCTTGGTAACTGTGTGAGCTTCTTTCTCTTCTACCAGAGTTTTCTCTCTGGATGAGATCTTCAGATTGGACCACTAATTTCTACTTATCTTCTTCTCACACTAAAGCATACCTGAGCACAGAAAAATGTCCCTAGAATGGATTGTGGGTTTTCTGGAAGCTTCTGATTGTTGGGAAATCACAGACCATTCAGAAGCGATTGCCACTAGTGTAGCTGTCTTGGAACCACACCCCTTCTTCCTGAGACCACTCAGGTACTATTTAATCCTACGGAAAGGCAAAGAATTAAATGATATTTTAAGCAGAGTGCCTCAAACATGACCCACAAAAGTTTCAAGAGTCAATATACTGTCTACATTGAGCTGAAAAAAACCCTCCCACCATGCAAGAACAGCACATCTGGCTTTCCAGGCTCTCTCTGCTGTCCCAGGTGGCTGGAAGGAGACTAGTCCGCGCGTTGGTTTCCTGTGTTGGGAAAGTTCTTGGCTGTTGACGGCTCACTGTTTTCCAGAGGAAGCTGAGAACCGAGGGCAGGTGAGGCTGAGAGGAGGAAGGGATGCCTCCGGACAGCAAGGTTTCCGGCATCTTCATCATGGCTCTGCGCATCCTGATCCTTCTAATGTTTCTGGAACTGGTGTTATAAGTACTGTCTGTTCCGAAAGAAATTGCTGTCTCCTACTTTAAAGCTATGAGTGAGTGAGTGAGTGAAGTCGATTCAGTCGTGTCCGACTCTTTGCGACCCCATGGACTGTAGCCCGCCAGGCTCCTCCGTCAATGGGATTCTCCAGGCAAGAATCCTGGCGTGGGCTGCCATTCCCTTCTCCAGGGGATCTTCCCGACCCAGGGATCGAACCCAGGTCTCCCGCACTGCAGGCAGACGCTTTAACCCCTGAGCCCCAGGGAAGCCCCGTTAAAGCTATAAAGCTATACTACCCAGCAAAACACTCCTTATGTTGGGAACTAGTCCAGTGGACCATTTCTCAAAGTAACTTGCACACTGTTTTCACAATTCTTGACCTGTCCATGTGCCATCTGTATTTACTTGATAGTTTTCTTTAAGTTGACTATCTTTTTACTTAAACAAATGTATTTTAAAAGAAAACAGCTTAACATGAATGTCATATCAACGTCCTCCCCATAACCAGAAGAATATATTAAAATCAACTGCAATGTGTAATGGTGCTCATCAAATTCTAATTATTTTTAACTCCTTGTTAAAAAGAGAGATCAGCAAGTGTTAACACAGTAAAAAAAAAAAAAGCTTCTTAATACCAAGAAGAGATCTTATAATTAATGTCACTAGAGGAAATGGAGCAGAATGGAAAGAAGATAACTTTGTATTATGTGAGGGATTAAATGTTTAGAGTTGTCTCCCGGAGCCATTCAAAACCATCTTGCACTTTCTTGTACGTTTGCACACTGGCTTATGGGCACAACCTTAAAGTTGGGGTAAGCTGACGTATCTGTTTAGAAGGACCCCAAACCGGTAAAGAGGCACCAGGTTCGTTTCCCTTTAGGCTTTGACACGCGTACGACAACCTTCTCAGAGCCCCAGTCCTGAGCATCTCGGACTGTGGAGTCAGGTTCAAATTCACTACTGTACCTGTGCAACCTCGGGCGAGTCAACCCCGTCTCTCTGAACCTCAGTTCACAAAGCAAACGTGGGCGACTGGATGGTTCTAAGGAGTACACACAATACCGCCGGTGAAGGGAGAGGCACGCCCGAGGCAGAGCTGAGTCTCGTCTAGTCTGGGGGCTGGGGTCCGGCCACAGGGTCCTCCTCCCAGCGCAGACGACAGGACCTTCCTTTCCACGGGCGTCAGAGACGCTGCAAGGTCTCTGACGGTCAGAACAACTTGAACTATGCTGCAGTGAGGGTTCAGGTGTCTATAGTCTTTTCTAGAAGTGAGGGGGTACGGGAGGAACAAAAATAAAAATTTTAAGAAATGGGAAGAGAACTCAGCCGTGGAAGTCAGGACTCCGGGCGAGCCAGCGTCCTGCAGGGTAGTATTGAGGATGCGGGGGGTTGGAGAGCCCCTTAGCCAACCCAGCTCAGCTGCCCGAGAGCTGGGCGTGCCCTGGGGAGACATGGGCTGCCCCGAGCAGCTGCTCCCGGAGCTGAGCTTCACACAGTTTTCTCCACCGCCTCTCGAGGGGCAGGGGAGTGGCGGCAGGCTCCGAGGACATCAGCAAGGCGTGGGTGAGTTGGCGTGGACCTTCTCCTTCGTGGCTCTGGGGGCGGTGGTGTGGTTTGTGAGTGATCACCAGGAGGAACATAGAGAGGCCTCAATGGAGCCATGATCACTTTCTTAGAGTCCTAGAAGTATCTGAACGGGGTGAGTAGGCGTGTGGATTTACCGGCTTCAGTGGTGGAATGGCTGGTGTTACGGTGAGATGTGTGAAGCACAGCGCTTGCACAGAGTATGCGCTCATGAATGGACGGGCTTTTTGCGAATGCTGGGAAGCAGCTTCATCTAGGCCTATTCGAGCTACTTAAGGCTTTTCTTAGGGAATCCCCCTGCTGTTGATGGGAATGTACACTGGTGCAGCCCCTATGGAAACAGTGTGGAGCTTCCTCAAAAACTAAAAACAGGGTTGTTATATGGCCCAAGAATCCCGCTCCCAGGCATATATGCACACAAAATTCTAATTCAAAAAGATACATGCATCCTATATTCACAGAAGCACTATTCACAATAGTCAAGGCAGGGAAGAGATCTAAATGTCCATCAACAAATGAATGAATAAAGAAGATGCAGTACACACACACACACTGAAATGCTACTCAGTCATAAAAAGAATGAAATAGTGATGTCTGCAACGAGAGAGATGGACCTAGGGATTATCACACTAAGTGAAATAAGTCAGACAGAGATAAACATCATGTGATATCACTTATATGTGGGATCTAAAATATGATACCAACGAACTTATCAATGAAACAGAAACAGCCTCACAGACACAGAGAGAAACCTGTGGTTGCCAAGAGGGAGAAGGGGTGGGCGGGATGGATAAGAAGTTTGGGACTGGCAGATGGACACTATTACACAGAGGACAGAGAAACAATGAGGTCCTATGTATAGCTCAGCAGACTATTCTAGATCCTGTGATACACTGTAACGGAAAAGAATATGATCAAGAATGTACAACGTGAAAGTGAAAATGTTAGTCACTCAAGCTGCGTCCAACCCCTTGCAATCCCGTCGACTGCAGCCCACCAGGCTCCTCTGTCCATGGGATTCTCCAGGCAAGAACACGAAGGTGGGTAGCCATTCCCTTCTCCAGGGGATCTTTCTGACCCAGGGGTTGATCCTGGGTCTTCCACATTGTCGGCAGACTCTTTACCGTCTCAGCCACCAAGGACATATATCTAATTGACC